CATGCCTTGCCCCACCCACCACGCAGCGATGCTCACCAAAATCAGTTAAGTGGGCCTCTGCCTGATGGTATCGGCGCTCTCACTGCCCTGTACCAAATGTAAGCCCCTTGCAGTCCACTCCTTGCATCACACCCCTTCCGACTGCCTCCCTTTCCCCCCCCCCGTGCAATGTTCTCTTCCCTTGCTCTATTGTTTGTATCTCCCGGTCTCTCCCTCCCTACCCATATGTTATTTGTAGCACTCATCAACGCAGCGCAGCTGCAATCCAACCAACACACTCTGATTGATGATGCGCGAAAGCATACTCACATCACTTGCTACTGCAGATTGCGTCAGGCATTCAAGTGCAGTGTGTTCCAGTGCATCCCTCCCGCTCCAACCACAGCATCAACAGTCACTTGTAACGACTCCCCCTCACCTCATCCTAGAACATATCCTTTCCATTGCACGCTGTTTCCTCGACACAGGTATCTTGGGGACAACCAATTGGAAGGGCCGATTCCAACATCGATCACCCTAATGACTGCACTGACCTTAATGTAAGGCAGCCCCAACAAACAACGCTGCATGCTCGCCTGCTCCAGACAAGGGGAATTGGACTCTCATAATGATGATGTTCGGCACCCCACTAACCTGGTGACCTGGTCCTTGATTGATTCGACCCTTCCCCCTAGTAACAGCTCGAGCCCGGCCGAACCCGTCCAGCAGTCTATATGATTTCTATTTTGTTTCTAAGGTTTGTGCATCGCACTCTGGTTTTCACTGTGAAAATGTCTTGTGTGCCGAACTTACCGTGCAGCAGATACGGCTGAGCAGATATGTGCTTAGTTGGCTGGCTAGGCCTAGGCATGAGCAAAGTACCAAACCGGGGTTCGGGACAAATCGTCCCTGCTCGTTAGCGTTCGTTCATCCGGGGTTTGTTTTTTGAGGCGCCTAAAAAACCCCGTTCATTACGTTCGTTCGTCCGGGGTTCGTTTGGCGCCTCAGGCCTGGACCAGATTATCATGGACTGGCCAAGCCAAAGTGGAGCTGGGTTTAAGCCGGTTCATTTGCTTATCAATATCTGCTGTGTTCCCTTGTTTTACACACCAAAACCTTTTACAGTGAAATCAAAAGAGCGTTATGCACAAACAGTTGAGTAGGACGCCACTATTAAAAGTGGTATAACAGTTGAACATTTGACGAACAGTTTAACCTTGTTTGTCATGCGCTGCTCCTCGTCCCGTGGCGCACCGCTGATCTAGCAGGCTCGAGCTGGCTGCTCTGATCGTGCCGGGACGCAATACAAAACAATGCTCGAGTCATACTTGTCTTGAGCTGCGCTCGATTTTTGCCAGTCGACGCGAGTCTATCAATGCGTTGCTTCCTCCCATGCAAGGCCTGTCTCGTCGGAAACATCCTCCCTCCTTTCTGAAACCGCCATCACCTCACCAATCAGTGAGCTTCAGAACAACCTGATTACGGGACCTATACCAGACGATCTCGGGAGTGTCTCCAAACTACTTGCTTTGTGAGTTCCTCTTCTTATGGCCCCACTCTGTTCCTCCTCCTCTCCTTCTTTTCCCCCTCTTCCACGCGTCATGACCCCATCCAGATCCAGCCATGCATCCAAACTAAAAGAAATGCATCCCCATTCTTCTCTCGCCCTGTGTTCTTTCTTCTTTCCAAACCCCAACTTTGCTTCTTGCCTTGCTGCTGTGCCATATCACATCACATCACATCACATCGCATCGCATCGCATCGCATCGCATCGCATCACATCCCATCACCCCAGGCGTGCCTACAACAACTCCATATCGGGTTCCCTGCCTTCCACTCTAACAGCCACGACTAATCTCCATTTCATGTGAGCCTCCGCATTGCACGCCCCCGTGCCACTCAGCCATTTGGTGAGCACGAGCCATATGACATGAGTACAGGGCCAGGTGAGGAGTTGGCCTGGGCCCAGTTGGGAGGTCTCGTGGCACGGGTTTAGTAAGAAATCTCGTGCCTTTCTGGATCATAGGGGTGAAGTACGAAATCTGCAGGTTGGTGTTGTTGTGGAGGTGCTACCCTGTGGGCGTTTTAGTAAGAACTACTATTTGTCAAGAATAGGAATACACATGGCAGGTAGACAAATTTTGGTTCAGCTCGTTATGAACCGATTCGTCTCAGGCAAAAGCAGGGCCATTTTAAAATCGGCCTGGCCCTACCTATTGTCATGCCTTATATGTCGAGACTCGAGACTTCCTCCGCACAGCCTAGGCTCACCCATTCACCGAATGTCCTGCATATGGGCGTGCGTGTGGGCCTCGTCTTGGAGCAAGCGGCAGGCCAAGAGAGGGAAGACATTGCATCACTCCGTCCCTCTGCTGCATGTGCGCACTCGGTTCGCTGTGTGTTGAAATCCTTCCATCACTAGGTTCACTTCTTCTCATATGTTTGCCTCGCCGGTGGCCTCCCACCCACGCCCTGCCATAGGTGCATCATCAGTATGCACATTGCTTACCCACATCTCTTGCCTACTCACATTCCCCTCTTTTTTGAAACCTTTTCTCTTACGTGCTCACTCCCTCTCTTCCCTACTCTCGCTGCACATTCTTCCCCAGTGTTTTGGGACACAACGAGATCAGTGGCCCCCTTCCACAGCACTGGACGGGAACTAATCTTAATAAGATGTTTGTCTTTCGTTCTCTTTTCCTTTCTCATTTCTTTGGGTATGCATGTCTGCTTTCATGCTAAGTTGCCAAATACGCTTATAGCGTATATACGCTTATCGTATATACGCTAGCGTATGAACGCTATCCGCATAGGGGGTCGACTTGGGGATACGCATTTTAGGGCAGGGAAAAACTTTTCTGGGCAGGTAAAAAAAAGCCCCGGGGATGTTTGAGGGGGGCGATCTACGGGATTTTGCATCAAATGTCATTTTTTTTCCCATAATAAGATTCGCACACCCTACACACGTGACACATACTCTCCTACCACCCTACTCTACCTACTACTAGGCGTACTCGTCCTCCAGCACGGCAAAATGCTCGGCGTGCAATCCCGCATCTTTCCGTATATTCGCATTTTTTTCGGTCGGGCTGCCCCAAAAAAACATTGGCCAGCGTATAGCGTATTTGCTTGCGTTTAGCATTTAGTGTGTAAACGCCAGCGTATATACGCTAAACGCAAAGGGTCTCTAGCGTATTTGGCAACTTAGCTTTCATGTGAAACCTCTACTGGGCTACATCCTTAATGTCAGTGGACATACCACACAGCGTACCACAACCCTGGGCATGCCACATCTGCATGAGCCAGCAGCATGAGCCAGCTGCTCAGCTCGTCTGGTTGGAATCAGCTTGATTTCAGTCGAGCCAAGTTGTCTCGACAACCACCAGACTAACCCAAAATATTTTCTTTTGAGATATATGTATATATATTTTTCAAGTAAGTTTGGTTTTAATCCCTAAACTGTAGCATTGCTCCACAGAGCCCTCCCGCCCCTCTACCACCGTCACCCAGGTTTAGTGTTTCCCTTAGTAGGAAACACTACACCTTAGCAGGAAACAGAAATTTGTGCCGGCACTGGTGTGTGAACAGCATAAAGGACTGGTATCAGGCATGGGTTTGGTCAAGCATGGGCAGGAAACGAACCACACAACCAGTTTTATTTATACCAGGTCGAACCAGAACCGGGTCCAACCGAACCAGAACTGGCTGGCTCGACTCGGCTCGTCACGAGCCTCACCCCATTTCAACGAGCACAACTAAGCAGAAGAGCTCTGCTCGGCTCGGTTCAGTGGGGTTTTGTGTGTTGTGGTCTCTCATCCAGGCTTAAACGGAAATAAATCAGCTGCTCTTGTGCTCATGGCTAGATCGTACTACACCACGCCACACGCAGCACGTCTGTCGGCTGGCCTCACTGCATCCCCATGCCTCACTGCATCACCATGCAATGTCTATCTGCAGGGCCGTCTGGGATACCATGGCTCCCTGCTCCTGCCCGTGCCTGCACCAGCCCATGCACACATCGGCCTTAACCAAAGAATGCATCCCATGTGCATTCCTCTCTGCATCTCATTTGCCCCTTTCTTCCCCACCTCCCCCACCCCCTTCCAATCTATTCCTTCACTTCCATCTCATCTCCCACTGCTGCCTCCTTGTCTGCATTTCATTGCGGTTGGTCAGCTGTTCAGCAGCCACTGTCTTTGTGTGTCATTCCTCTCTTCTCGTTCCCCAGTGACATCAGCTTCAACCAGCTGTCTGGCACGATACCGGACGACATCACCGGCTTGGTCTATCTCACACTGCTGTAAGCCTCTGCTTCTTTGTGACTAGTTGTTCCCCCCCTCCTCCTGCACCCCACCCGTGCTTCTTTGTGACTAGTGCTGCGAGCCGCCTCTTGGCATCAAACCCCGGCACGGATCGCTTTTTGACGAGCTGGCCACAAGCTCAAGACGAGGCTCGGGTCGCCATGTCAACCGGCTGTGCAGGCCAAGCCAAGACGGGGCTCAACCAATAGCTTAGAACCCATGTCTTTGTGAAGCATGCCACTCCTGCTTTCCTCCTTTCGTTTCCTCAGTCTTCACCACCTCCCTTCCTTTTTGTTACATCCAGGGACCTGAGCTCCAACCGCCTCACTGGCACCATACCGCAAGGTCTTGCTAGTCTTGACAACCTACGAACGCTGTGAGTCCCCCACACGGCCCCAACTCAGTTATCCTTTCATGCGTCCAACAAAATAATTGCTTTCTTCTTTCCGTTGTGCTCCCAGGCTCCAGCCATGCGGATAAGGGTGTCTTCTCCTTTCTCATTCGCTCTCCCTCGTTAGGTTCCCCATCCTTCCATCCCCCATCCCTCCATTTCCCATCCCTCCATCCCCCATCTCTCCATCTCCCATCTCTCTATTCCCCATCCTTCTACTCCCCATCCTTCCACCTCTACCCACAGCAATCTGAGGAACAATCTGCAGGAACAATCTGCTGACAGGGAAGGTGCTCGAGCCCGTGCCAGCATCAATAACGACCTACAAGCTGGACAACAACTACTTGAGTCAGGGGTTCACGTCCCCCCCACCATGCGGGCAAGGCTACATCACATACCGCAGCAACTGTGCGGACACGCCAGCAGAGGGCCTTGCGTGTGCAGACAGCCCTCAGAAGACTGACCCCGTCTGCACTGCCTTCTGTGGCGTGTCTGGCGTCTCCTCCCCCCCTGTGGAAGCCTGCAACGGCCATGGCGTGTGCTTCTTGGACGGCCCCAGCAACACGCCCACGTGCCTCTGTGACGATAACTACGTGGTTGGGGAGTTACCCGGCAGCTGCGTGGCCGTGGCAGGTGAGCCACTCACAGCGATGCTTTGTCTCTATTACGCGTCAGTTTTGCATCCCATGCAACGCCTTGTCTCTATTTCACTATACCTCTAAACAATTTCCATGCTTCCAAGCATACAGTTTCTCGTGACTGTTTTTTCGTGACCGGTTTCTCGTGACTGGTTTTCTCGATGGGGCTGATACTTCCTGGCGACTCCATCTCTGTGCGTCCCTCTTCCAGGTGGTAGGACGGAGCAGGATTTGACGCCCACAGCAGCCATGCTCACAGCCACTGGCGACGCCTCAGTGAATGCAGCCACGCTCACTCTCACGCCCGCCCAGCCGTCCAAGGCTGGCAGTGTGTTCCTGGCAGCGCGCGTGCCGCTCTTCTCCTACCAGCTCATCGGGGACACCTGCGGCCGCCAGCTCGCCTTCTCCTCCTCCTTCTCCTTCACTCTCACCCGCCCAGCTGCCTCCGGCTCCGAAGGGTTTGCCTTTGTGGTGACCTTTGATTCGACCACGCCCACACCACCGGTGGCGGGCGGCATGGGGTATGCGGGGATGGGAGTGCGCAGCGTGGCAGTGGAGTTTGACACGTCGATGGATGCGGGCAACAGCGACCCTGACAGCAACCACGTGGGCATCAACACCGGCGGCAATGTCACGTCGGTGGTCACAGCCAAGCCCAGCACCCCTCTCAATGACGGCACGCCCAAGCACGTGTGGATCGAGTACAGCCCTTCCTCCGATGGCTCCCTCCGCGTTTTCCTCTCCTCCCAGGCGTCCCCTCGCCCCACCACCCCCCTCCTGTCGGCACGCATCTCCCTGTGTGAGGAGCTCGCCCCAACTACATCGGAGTACACCTTTGCCATCGGCTTCACTGCTGCCTCCGCCACCCAGCCTCAAACCCATGTCGTCTCCGCCTGGCACCTCTCCACATGTGAGTGAACCCCTGCATCCATTCATTCACCCGTCATCGTTTCTTTTGTTAGAGTGTCCCTTCCTTTTTGAACCAAAGTTGATGAAAAATTTATACAGCCCAAACTTAGCTCTTTATATTTTCTGTGTGTGTGTGTGTGTGTGTGTGTGTGTTTTTTTTTTTTTTTTTTTTTTTTTTTTTCCTACTTTCTTTTTGTTGCAGATTTTCCTGTTCAGCCAACTCCAGGTATGAAGTGGTGAAAGTTTCACGGTGAAACGGTTACTGTTTTGATCCCTTTTATGGCAAGTAATGGAGTTTAATTTTGAACCACTTTCATGTGCTCAGCATCTCTTCCCTTCACAATGCTCATCATGTCCACCATGTGTAACCTCTTCTCGATCGCAGATGCAGCGCTGGGCTTTACCTTTACCGAGGCGGCGCTCTCTCTATCGGGGATGAATCTCTTCTTCCGCTATGCCAGCTCGGGCAGTACTGCTGCTGAGAATGGCAATGACGTGTATGGTGTGCGCCCTGCAGCTTCATGGGCCAGGCCTGACTTCACATGGCCTGTCAGGACACAGACCACTTGCGGTGAGTTCTCCTGGATCCCCACTGTTAGGCCACGCTAGGCTAGTCACCTCCGCGATGAACCCAGGCCAGCTTGCCTCGAACCAAGTTGGTCGGGCCGGGGTTCGGCCAGTGTTGTCGGGCCGCTGGTAAGGTCATCGGCCCGTATTCTCCCGTCCCGGGTTCAAGACCTAAACTATGAAGGCCAGCTTGAACCTGGTGGTCCAAGACGTGCTGTTTTGAGCTCGGCTTGAATGCAATTCAATGTTATATCGCAATTGTCAGTCCCACGGATCTCACATTCGCCATCGCAATCGCAAAAATCTGGCAGTTGGAATGGTTAGATTCAACCCTCGAGAACCCGGGAGGTTGGCAGGGACCGAAGTAACCCAAATTGGGTAAGGGTCCGGACCATCCTGGGTGTGATCCGGATGGACCCAGCCCGAGTGGGAACCGGAAACATAGTCTTGATTCTTGAAGCTCCGGTGCAAATATATGAAGTTGTTAGAACAGCCCTGAAAAGCAATGAGGTGTGGGACTTACTTATACGATGATGAAGATCAGAGGAGCAGAGAGTGAGTGCGAACGTGAGGCATGGTTGCAACTGTCGCGGAATTTATTGGCAGCTGAGACTTCCCCCCCCCTCCCAAGACACAGTAACTTGTCAAGTTGGGTGCAACCACAACCACTGCACAGGCAAGACCTGAGGAGCAGGAGCTTGGGGCGAATGAGACCTACCATGCTGCAGTGTGATAATAGTGTGCATATGCCATCTAAGTGTTTGCTCTATACAACGTACACATCCCACGTGTTTCCTCTCTCCAACCTACACAACACAACCCACGTGTTTCGTTTATGCAATGTACGCAATGTTTGCTCAATGCAAACCTTCCCGCGCATGCATTGCCTCGCAGGCGACTGCTGGGCGTACGCAGTGATGGGCAGCATAGAGGCGGCGTACAGCATTATGGCCAACTTAGCAGTGGTGCAGCCGCTGTCAGTGGAGCAGCTGAAGACCGTCATGAAGGTCAACTGCTCTGGCAGCACGCCCTCTCAGGCCTTCCAGCTGCTGCTCAAGCTGGCGCAAAAGGGAGGCGGGCTCGTGTTGGAGAGCCAGGGGGCGGCCACGAAAGGCAAGAAGGCCGTCGTGAAGGCAGGCAGCAGCAGTCCTCTTTGCTCTCCGTTGCTGAAGCCACTGGCAAAGCTGCTCGGTGTGTCGTGCGGAAACGGCTCTTCTAACCCACGTGTGAGTGGGGTAGTATTGGTTATGATAGCGTGGCGGATAGACTCAAAGGAATGATGCTTCGTCCTTTGAGCAGTTGAATTCTGTGCTACTCAAGTTCCTTTCACACTGAGTGCTTGCTGTTCCATAGAGCTCTGTTTGCTCTGGTCCACGCTCATCCATCCTCCTTCACACCCCATCCTTCCCATCCCCAAGCAGCTCCCCACTCCGTTCCCCATCAGGGGCTTTGAGTCGACGTCCTTCTACGGCTGGTTTGGGCTGCTGCTGGCCGTGCAGCGGCAGCCAGTGGTGGTGCACATTGAGGCTTCCGCCGACTCGTTTAAGAACTACGATGGGGTGAGGCGAGCAGTGTGGGTGTGAATCAATGGGAGGGTGCGAGTAAATGGATACGAGGGTGTGTGTGAATGAATGGGGTGTGTGCGTGAATGAATAGGAGTGCGTGTGTGAATGAATAGGAGTGCGTGTGTGAATGAATAGGAGTGCGTGTGTGAATGAATAGGAGTGCACGTGTGAATGTATAGGAGTGTGCGTGTGAATGAATAGGAGTGTGCGTGTGAATGAATAGGAGTATTCGTGCAGACGCAATCATTGTCTGCTCCTGTCCTTTCCAACCCTTCCTTCCCATACACATGATGCCCTATCATACGCAAAGGAAAAATCGCTCATTACCTTGCTACCTTACCCATTTCTTCCTTCTTCCAGCTGTCCAAGTACCAGGACCCAGCGTGCTTCACATACAACCTGAACCACGTGGTGCTGCTGGTGGGGTACCGCCTGGTGGGCAAGGACTCGCGCTTCCCCCACATGGCGCCGCCCTTCTGGATCATCCGCAACTCATGGGGGCCTGACTGGGGCGATGGGGGCCACATGCGCATGGACATCCAGGGGGGGGATGGCGTGTGCGGCATCAACTCGCTGCCAGGCCTCTACCCTGTTGTTAGAGGTGAGTGAGTGCACGGTCGAGGTGAGTGAGTGCCCGGTCAAGGTGAGTGAACACGTGGGATCCATAACACCATTTCAGGTTTCAGAACCCGCTTCTGCTAGTTTTTGAACCCACGTGTCTTGCTTCTCTGCCCTCTTTGCCTGCCCTCTCTCTACCTACAGCCAAAGACCCGTGCAACAAAGCCGCCCGTGGTGATAACACTGGTTCGCTCTTCAATCCCTGCGGCAAGTTCACCTGCACTGCGAAGGGCACGACAAACGAGTGTGACTGCAACGACCCGCGCTTCATCCAAGCAACCAACGCCGATGGCTCTCGCACATGCGCCTACAGTAAGCCTCTGCTGCTGCTGCTGCTGCTGCTGCTGCTGCTGCTGCTGCTGCTGCTGCTGCTGCTGCTGCTGGTGCCTGATGCTGTTTGAAGCCTCTGCTGCTGCCTGATCTTGTTTGTGGCTTTTTGCTGACGTTCTTACAATTACAAGTTGAAGCCCTCTCAGTGCTTGTCTCCTCTCACACCATTCTCACAGCCGCAGTGTCCTCTCATTCCTCCCCTTCCGTCTTGCTCTCCTCCCTTCCCCTTCCATCCCACCCATCTCCTCCCTCACTTCCCCTCCCTCCACTCCTCAACCCTTCCCTCCCCACCTCCTCCCCACCCCTCACTTCCCTCCCCTCCTCTCCCTCCCGTCCCCGTTCTCCACTGTGCCCCTCATCAGAGGATGCATGCAAAGCAGCCCAGCGCAATCCGTGTGCGGTGGGGCAGTGTGTGAATGACGGGGCGGGGTCGTACTCGTGTGTGTGTCCACCGGGCTTCAGGCAGGGCACCACCGTCGAGGGCACCTACTCCTGTGCTCCAGGTCTGTCCTGTGCTCCAGGTACCTCCTTCTCCTGTGCTCCAGGTATCGTCTCCTGTGCTCCAGCTAAGCCAACTTCTCCAATGATCGAGGTACCTTCTCCATTGCTCCAGAAACCTTTTCTGTGTTGTTGTGTGCCATAAGGGTGTTCTCTCAACTCTAGTAATGAAAATGCGGACTTGTGCCTTAGCGCATGATACGCCTCTTAAGGGTGCAGTGTGCGGACTAAATATATGACCTAGTTACCGAGTGGAAAGTGTGATGTTCTACGTTCTACTTTGGTCTAGAAACGTACTGTTAGGGCGTGCCACAAGGATTAAGTCTCGCCTGTGTATACCCCTCTTTGGTCCGGTTCAAACCGGACGCCGAACCTGTGCCTGACCACCAACCCTTGGAAGATCAAGGGTGTACCAACCCTTGCACCATTCTTGGACCAAACTTCTGACTTGGATTTGTTTTTTTATTATAATTATAGTTATTATTTAGTTTGTAAAGTGGGTATTTGACAAAGCAGATGCACTCAGGCCAGCATGCGACACCCGCGCGTGAGGTTCCAATGCAACAGTCACGGAACCACCACGTTGTCATGCCATGACAGCGCATGGCACAAACACTAGAGTGTGTGTGGTTCGATTATATGCAGTCCCACCAATCCCATTGCATGTGGGTGTGGTGCGACAGCGAGGGTTAGTGTTGATTAGTTTGCTATCACACATGTTTTGCTCTGGGTGGTGGTCTGACCTGGACCGCATATGCTCTGAGACTGGTCCAAGGGCTGCTTCGCGTGTCCGGCATGTCTTCTCTGCGTGTCTGTCCCGTGGACCAGAAAACGTTTGTAGTGAGACTCGGAAAACGATTGGGTCCGTACCAAAGGAAGGGCGGACTAAACCATGTTACACGCCCTTCGGTTGACATGGAAGCTCCCGACTACGGGAAAGGAGGGGCTGACTGACAGGGACACCAAGCCAGGCCTCGGGTTCAATTGTTCGCTGAATATCAGTGAACAACTGGAAATTAAACTCGTAGGCTGGTTCGGCATCGAAGTTGAGTACAGGGTAGAATCTCGTGCAGATTTGCAACACCTGATATTCGCTGTGCCCCACAACAGATTCAACGCAGGACAGCGAAGGAATGAGAATGGTAAAAAAAAAAAAACACACACACACACATTTGGTCAGAGTTTTGAAAGCTTTGTCTGACCGTACTTCAGGGTTTTATTCCAGAAGTTCGTACCCTTAATTGACATACGCGTAAACATAAGGTCCCAGCGGTTAATCATACAAGCTTGCTGTGCTCTGTGTGCTTCCCTCTTACTCACTTCTGTTGAACCTTCTGTTACTCTATGTTCCACGCTGTGCTGTATGCAGGTGGCAACAGCACCACCTACACTGTGCTCTCTGCCAACGTCCGCTGCTCCGATGTCTTCCCAGTCTACGGCCTCACACTCACCGAATTCCAATCCCAGAACGTGCGTTTCCTGCTTTATTTAGAAATAAAAAATAGAATAAGCAGATTCTTAGGGCAATGCATCTTTTATCTCCGAGTCTTTGCCCTGCTTGCTACTCACACACAAGCCCCTTCCTTCCCGTGTGCCATGGGGTGTGCCGTGTCTCTCATGCCTCCCCCTCCATGTGTGCAGCCATCGGTGTCGTGTGCAGCACCCATCCCACCCTCCACTGTGCTCAAAGTGGCCAGCCCAGCCTCTCTCATCCCCTGCTCCGTCTTCTACACCACTCAGCAGGTCCCCACCTCGCACCCTTCCTGCCAATACGCCTCTCCTGGTCGTCCTCTATCTGCCTTTCTGCACCTATCCTAGTGTGCCACTCCTCCTCCTACCCTCCTCCATCTCACTCTAACTCCCATTTTCTGACCTCACCACATTTCTTTCATCTCACTTCCTTTTACTGGGTGGAGCCCCCACACTCTCTCACTCCTGCTTCCCCTGTCTCATTTTCAGGGCGACACCTGTGCGGACCTAGCCACGTACTTCATAGTGGCCTGGTCCTGCTTATGGGACCCTGACAGCTGCCTGCCAGCCTTCCAGGCGCTCAACCCCAGCTTGGACTGCACTGCCAACGGCGGGCTGCTGCAGCCCGGGCAGACAGTGTGTGTGGAGCGCATAAAGAATAATGTGGGGCTCATCCCGGTGTGCTCGCAGTACTACCTGGTGCAGAGCGCAGAGACGTGCGAGTCCATCCGCAATGTGCCCTACCCCCCTCTGGCCCCCAAGGAGTTCTTCCGTCTCAACCCCGGCATCAAGTGCGACCGTCTCATTCCAAACACCGACGTCGACGGCTTCACTGGCTTTGAGGTGCGTGTGTCGTACCGGCTCTGCTCATGCCTCTGTTTCCTTCTTTGTGGATCAACCATCTTTCCTCTCCTCATCTACTGTCTTGTCTTCTCTCCCTCAAGCTTACTGCCTAGCTGGTTCTCTCATGACTGCTCTCTTTTACCTTTTTCTCCTTTTCTTCTTTACTCCATCCTTCCCCTCCTCTTTCCCCCCCCCCCAGGCATGCATTGCGAGCTCCACTTCGTTCACTCCACGCACTTCCTCCCTCCCCCCTCCCTTTCCCCTCCCCCCCCTCCAGGCATGCATAGCGAGCTCCACGTCGTACACTCAGGGCACGTGCCCGCGTGCGAATGCGTATGTGGTGGGGACAGGCGACAGGTGCACGGGCCTTCAGGTGAAGTTCTTCCGGGGCATCAAGGGCTGCTACAGGAAAGTCAACGGATACGACTGCATCGACAAGCTCGTCAAATCAACCCGCGTGTGCCTGCCTGACAAAGTCAAGCTTAAGAAGGGAAAGTGCGACAACTGACCTCCTGCATGCTGTCTCTGCATCTGCCGTGCTGGCCAGGTCTGGCGCTGCCTCTAACGTGCTTGCACAGTCTGACTGGATTTCGGAGTGCTGATGCCCACCATGATGCTTCGTCCTTCACTGAGTGACTGTTATAGGACTAACCTTTGTTAACGACTTGATGGCTTGCAGGGGATACAGTGATGATTATTCTCAGTCTAATGTGCCGTAGTCCCCCAGATATAGGACCCAGGGAACTTAGGGTGAGCTGAGCACTATGGCGCTGCCTCTTACGTGCTTGCACAGTCTGACAAGATCTCAGTGTGCTTATGCCCAACATGATGCTTCGTCCTTCACTGATGGGATGTAACAATTCTAGCCGTGTTAACGCCTTGATGGCTTGCTGCGGATACGGGAATGGTTTTGCTGAGTAATAGTAGCTTGATTATATGATTACTAATTGTGATGCTTTGGGGATCCCAGATTTTTCAGAATTCAAAATGGCAGCGTAAATGCCGCCCCAAAATGCTCTAAAAGATGGAAGGGTGGATGGGTGCACTGCTGGAGGTTAATGCCAAAGTTGTAAACATCAGAAAATGGTGTGAACTAGGTAACAAGGAGATACATGTGTGCAACCCTAAAGGGTTGTACCCTATATGGGCTACCCCACTACAACCTACACAACAATATATGAAAATTGACACACCCCCATAGACAAAGTGGGGGATAGCAAGAACAACAAACGGTCACAAGACCAGTCAAGAGAAGCAAACAAAGCAAAGCTCAGGGTGGATCTCAAGATCACCACACAATCCGAGCACAAGCAAGCGGCTACAAGGCCAGTGTCAGACGTAGGTAAGCCAGAGTAACTCCTGTGCAGCCATGGCCCCAGCGTAGATCTCGGCCTCACAGCTGGAACCAAGTACAGAAGACGAACGAGTGGACCTCCACGAGACAGAACCTGAACCGAGACTGAAAGAGTAATCCTGTGACGACCGCTGAGTTGCCTGGTCGTCGGCCCAAGAAGCGTCTGAGTGTCCTGTGTGTCCTCCAAGCACGAGCCCCATGCCCGATGTACTGCACAAGTAACGCAGTACCCTCTGCGCAGCTGTCCAGTGCTCCTTCCTGTGTCGGCCGGGCGCGACGAAGCGAGCAAGGATGCTGAGAGGGTACGCGAGGTCAGGTCGTGTGCACGTCATCAGGTACATGAGGCAGCCCACAAGCTCTGGATACGGGCCACTCGGCTCTACGGACTCGTCCAAAGGTGGAGCTGAGAGCGAGTGACCTGTAGGCAGAGGAGTGGACTGTGGCGAGGAGAACTCGAAGCCGAAGCGCTGAAGGACCTGCTGCACCATGTGTGACTGAGTCAAAGTGATGGTGCACCGTGCTATGTCACGGGTGATCTGCAAGCCAAGATAGCTACGCAGCTCACCCAGGTCAGTGCACGTGTGTTTCTTCTGCAGCTCTGCCTTCACAAGGGTCAGCGCCTCAGTGTCGGCAGTAGCAAAGACCAAGTCGTCGACGTACACGAGGATGTAGAACGGCGGCAGAGTAGGGTCGGTGCGCAGAAACAGCGACGGGTCAGCAGTCGAAGGAGCAAACCCAAGAGCCGCAAGTGTCATCCTCAGTGTGTCGTGCCACTCGCGGGGCGCCTGGGGGAGACCGTAGACTAGCCGCCGGAGGCTCCACTGGGTACCCTCACGAAACGACCCAGTGAAGCCAGGTGGGCGGCGCAGCCAGATCTCCTCGTGAAGGCTGCCCTGCAAGAAAGCTGTGGAGAAGTCGAGGGAGTGCAGCTCGTAGTCACGCTGTGCTGCAACGTGCAGTAACACCAGAAAGTGGTCATCTTCGGGGTGGGGGAGAACGTCTGGAAGAAGTCGACCCCCTATCGCTGACTGAAGCCTCGAGCAACGTAACGCGCCTTGAAGGCAGGCGGAGAACCGGGCGGCCGCTTCACTCTGAAAATCTACGTGCCATCGACTATGTTCACCCCAGGAGGGGGAACCTCGTCAACGTAGGTGCCTGTGGATTTCCAGGAAGCCATCTCTGCATCTATGGCTGTCTGCCACTGAAAGGAGTACTCACCCGTGATCGCCTCTGCGTAAGAGCGCGGGGTGGGGATGTCCAGTGCATCCGGGTCTCCCTCAGGGCAAAGCAGCATGGACGCGAAACGGGGTAAAACGGCCGCGAGACACTCGAGCTCAAACTGCCTGTCCTCAAGGACGTCACATCCAAGGGCAAGCTCACCCCCTAAGGACGGAGGACAGACAGACTCAGACTCAGTAACAAGACTCGCGACATAGTCGAGACGACGGGTAGCAGCAAAGTCGACTAGCTCAGTGACTAGGGCAAACGCAGCAGTAGACTCAAAGGGCGGGTCAGTGACAACAGTGGCGAGGAGACGAGTGACAGTATGACTAGCAGCACGCGAAAGGTCGGACTCAGGGTCGGGAACGTCTGGAAGAGAGGACACCGGAGGAGACGGCAGAGCAACACGCTGTGGAACAGAGGAAGGACGAACTGCCATAGCGTGCATGCCGGGGACAGGTGGAGGACGAGAACGACGAGCACGACTGAGAGTGCGAACAGGGGAGGCAGGACGAGACCCAGACTCTCGACGCTCAGCCTGGGAGCCTGTCTGTGCAGGGTTGGGAGAAGGAGCAGGCAGTGGAGAGCCAGGCAGTAACTGCGGCTGTGACTGGTGAGGTGGAGGATACAGGAGAGTCGGAGTAAGGCCAGTGGAAGACGGAAGACTAAGAACTTGACGAAGTGCCGAGTCAGGCGATGGTAGGGACGACTGCGACTGCGGGTAGAAAAAAAGTCGGCGCGGCGCAGTACCCGTACGGTCAGCAGCTCCAGCACCTCCAGCACCTCCAGCTCCAGCACCCCCAGTACCTCCAGCTCCAGCACCTCCAGCACCTCCAGCTCCAGTACCTCCAGAACCAGCAGGTCCAGCACCTCCAGCACCAGCAGCTCCAGTACCTCCAGCACCTGCAGCTCCAGTACCTCCAGCACCTCCAGCTCCAGCACCTCCAGCACCTCCAGATCTAGCACCTCCAGCACCAGCAGCTCCAGCACCTCCAGCACCTCCAGTTCTAGCACCTCCAGCACCAGCAGCTCCAGCACCTCCAGCACCAGCGGCTCTAGCACCTCCAGCACCAGCAGCTCCAGGACCTCCAGCACCTCCAGCTCTAGCACCTCCAGCCCCAGCAGCTCCAGCACCTCCAGCACCAGCAGCTCTAGCACCTCCAGCACCAGCAGCTCCAACACCTCCAGCACCTCCAGCTCTAGCAGCTCCAGCACCTCCAGCACCAGCAGCTCCAACACCTCCAGCACCTCCAGCTCTAGCAGCTCCAGCACCTCCAGCACCCGCAGCTCTAGCACCTCCAGCACCAGCAGGAGCACCCACGACTCCACCACCACTAGGACTTGCAGCACCCCCAGTGTGAGCACCTCCAGAAACGGCACCCCCAGAACCAGCACCCCCAGACTCAGCACCCCTAGAGTCCGCACCCCCAGTGTCACCACCCCCAGCAGCACCAGAGTCCACAGCGACAGGCTGCGGAGGCGGCGAACGGCCGAGGCGGAAAACCAGGAGGGGTCTCCAAGCGCGGGGAGCGGCGAGTCGTCGCCGTGTCGTCAGCAGCGGGGTCACCCCCCCTCAGCTCTGCCAGAGGTGTCACAGGAGACCTCCAAAGGCTCAACCAAGGGGGGTGGGTCGACCTGAGACACAACTGAGGTAGCAGGACCCTGCGGGGGGAGGGGGTCTACCGGGGGGGGACCTGGGACCAGGAAGAGGGGCGGCGGGGAGAGCGGGGAAGACGTGTGCGGGTGGAGACGGTAGAAGCAGACCAACTCGTCAGAGGTGACGTCATGTGAGAACAGGACGCGGCGCTAGGCAGGGTGGTAAAACTGCCAGGGCGGGGCGTCGGTGGGGAAGCCAAGGAAGACGCCGCGGAGAGTGCGAGGAGAGAGCTTGCTCGCGGTGGTATCGCGAACAAGGGAGAGCGCGCCCCAAACCCGAAACGCCGACGCATCGCTAACCTCCCCCGTCCAACGTAGTGTAGGCGAGGTCTCTGGCACAGAGACACGGGGCCAGCGGTTGAGCTGATGCACGGCGTATCGGACCGCAAACGGCCACAGAAAATGGGGAGCAGCCACATGGATCATGGAGGTGCGAGCAACCTCCATGACTAAGCCAATGCGGCGCTCAGCAATCCCATTCTGCTGAGGAGAGGCCGGAAGCGTGAACGTCTGGCGAATGCCCTCGTCTTGACAGAACCCCGCAAGGAGGTCAGAGGAGAACTCACCGCCCCTGTCAGAGTGCAGTCGCAGGACCTGGAGGTCCTGCTCAAACCGAGCGCTCAGCTGCCGACGAACAGCGATGATCCAGTCGATCAAAACACCGCGGACATCCGCCTTGCTCTACAAGGGGAAGAGTGTGGTGTAGCGCGTGTAGTCGTCAACAACCAGCAGAAAGTAGCGCTCCTGGTCCTGTCCACGGACGCGGGCTGGGCCCCACACGTCCATGTGGAGAGTCTGCAGAGGAGCAGTGGTCGGCGGAAACGAGGAGGAGTGAGGAGCGACGCGCTGCCGCCCCTCGACGCAGGGAAGGCACGGCAATGCAAGCGAGCGCGGGAGCGGGGGCAGGGACCTGGGGAGGCCAAAGACAAGGAGATGCGAGTGCATGCCACGCAGGCACGGCAGGGAGGGGTGACCATGACGGTGGTGCCAGAGGAGAGTCTGGTGCGAGAGTAGTCGGCACGAACAAGACGCAGCTAACTGACCCGATGCAGCTACCTGTGCAGACTCAGTGGTCAGTGTCTACAGGCCAGACCCAGGGCTCCGAGTGAAAGTGGCGAGGTGCTCGCCAGTGCGTGAGTCCGTACAGATCGCCATAAGCTCACCCCCAGGAGTAGTGACAGTGACAGACTGGTCCTGGAGGACAGCGTTACTCACCAAGTTCTAAGAGAACGAGGGGAGGTGGAAACCTGTGAGTGAGCCTGAGGGGGCTGCTGGAC